AAACCATGTCTGATCTTACAGCTTTTCAGTTCTATGTTGTATATGTTGTTGATAGGGACAGTTCCCCTTTGTGGAGTTTGCAGAGATCAGACTCAGCCTTTCACATAGTATGCTTGTTCTTTTTAAGGCTTGATGGCTAACCAAAAAATCAGCAGGAAAATGATTTGGCAGTCTGTTTCCATTAAGCCACAGCCTAGAAAACTAAATGAGTCAGCTCTATTCTGTTACGTAGTGTTTCTTTGAGTCCAAAACTGGACTTTAAGAAAAACTGGTTTGGAGTCTGCCTCAAAGCTTTTCTTTAACTGTATTATTGTTATTTTAATATCCAGTCATTACAGATTATTTTAGAAGTATATTTTTTTCCTCAAAATTATTATGCTGTGGTATGTTTTAGGAAATTTCAACTACTAGAGAAATATCTTTCTTAAGAAGTGAAAGTCTTTTATAATCACATCTTCCTCTGATAAACTCTATTCAATCTAGGATATTTTAAAATTGTATTTTACTTACCATAATTTGAATGTCAGTATGCTTTCCTAGATTATGCTATTATAATATTTAGTATTTTCTATGATATGATATTGTATGTTGTTGTTGTTGTTAGGCGCCATCAAGTTGAGGCTGACTTATAGCAAACTCTGTTCTATTCTATGCCATCCTCATACTTCCTGACACCCAAGAGCTCATTGCAATAGGCACTGTGTCAATCAACCTGGTTGAGAATCTTCCTCTCCTTTGTCAACCCTCCACCTTTCCTAGCATATGCCCCTCTCCAAAGACTAGCCCCTTCTAGCAACATGCCCAACATATGTGAGGTGAAGCCTCATCATTCTTGCTTTCAAAGAGCACTCTGTCTGCACCCTCTCCAAGACATATCTGTTTATTTTCTTGACCATCCATAGAATATCCAGTGCTCTTCTCCAACATAGCTCAAAGGCATCAATTCTTTTTCCTTTATCCTTATTCATTGTCCAGCTCTCAGATGCATAGCAAGAGATCAGAAAGACTATGATCTAAATCAGATGCAACTTAGTCCTCAAACTGACTTCATTACTCTTCAATAATTTGGAGAGGTCCCTAACTGCATTTGAGGTTTCTATTTTTGTTACATAAAAATCTGGAATGAGGGGGGAGGGATGGGCAGGGAGAAAAATGCAACAATGAATGAATGAATGGAAATCCAAAGTGTCTGTAAATTTTCATTAATAATAATTTTAAAAATCAGAAAAAGAAATCAGGACTTGTGTATGCCAGTGATGTTTCCTATCTCTATACCTTTTCAATCTATATGCGGAACAGATCATTTGGGAGGCTGGACTCTATGAGGAGAAATGTGGCATCAGGATTGGAGGAAGACTCATCAATAACCTGCGTTATTCAGATGACACAACCTTGCTTGCTGAAACAAAGGAGAACCTGAAGCACTTGCTGCAGAGAGAGGGTCAAAGACTGCAGCCCTCAATATGGGTTGAAGCTCAATATCAAGACAAGAATGATTCTCACTACTGATTACCGCATCATGATGGACGGTGAAGAGATTGAGATCATTAACAACTTTAGTTTGCTTGGCTCCACAAACTTGGTACCAGCAGCCAGGAAATCAAAAGATGAATTGCACTGGGAAAATCTGCTGTCAGGGACCTCTCCAGAGTTCTGAAGAGCAATGATGTCAGTCTGGAGACTAAGGTGCACCTGATACAGGACATGGTCTTCGCAATTATGTGCTATGCATCAGAAAGCTGAACAATGACTAGGGATGGTAGAAGGAGAATTGATGTCTTTTAGCTGTGGTGGTGGAATGAGTATTGAATATACCATGGGCGGTTACAAGCACAAACAGGTTCATCCTGGAGAGGGTGAAACCAGACTGCTCCTTGGAGGCAAGAATTCTGAATCTCCGTCTGACACACTCTGGGCATGTTGCAAGCAGGGACCAGTCCTTGGAGAGGGACATTATGCTTGGGAGGGTGGAGAGACAGTGTAGGAGAGAAGGACCCTTAATGAGGTGAATTAACTCAGTGACTGGAGTAATGGGGGTAGGTATGTCAGAGATAGTGAAGTTGGTTCAGGATAGAGCAGGGTTCAGAGCTGTTGTACATAGGGTTGCAATGAGTTGCAGGCAACTCAACAGCACATCACAACAACAACAATAAAATTATTTCATTTTACTTGGATCTATAATCAACTTTCTTGCTAAAAACAGTCAAGAAATAAAAATTTTCCATATTGCATCAGGAAAATTTTCTATCAAGGATTTTAAAGTGCTAAAGAGCAAGGATATCAGTTTAAATACTAAGGTGCACCTGAGTTGTCGTATTTTAATTTTTTTTCACATGCCTGTAGAAGATGGACAATGAATAAGGAAGATTGAAGAAGAATTCATTTTCTTCCCTTTGAATTTTGGTACTAGTGAAGAGTATGAACTACCAAAAGAACAAACAAATCTGTGTGGGAGGAAGTGAAACCAGGATGCTCCTTTGAGGAAAGGATAACAAGACTTCTTCTCATGTACTTTAGACAGGAGGCACCAGTCCTTAGCAAAAGACATTATTGTTGGTAAAGTAGAAGGTAAGGGAAAGAGAAGGTTGTCAATAAGATGGATTTGACACAGTGACTTTCACATTGTGCATGAACAAGTCTTGCGATTGCAAGAATTGCACAGTATAGGATAAGGTTTTGATCTGTTGTTCATTGGGTTGTTATAAATTGTAGCTGATTGGATGGTACCTAACAACATTTCTATCTGTTTCTTTCTCCAATCCACAAATATTTGTTGAGTATCTAGGATATCATCCATGAAGAAAGCAAAAGGTCATTACAAGAACAGAGGAGAAAGGAAAAAAATGGAAATGGATATCAGAAAAGATTATGAATTTTACGCTGGAGCATTGAGAAGTCAAATCTAAAGAAATACGTGTCAAAATGAAAGAGCTGAATAGACTATTTCAAAGGGTAGTTTGGGAGGATGAAGCAAAGTATTATAATGGAATGTGCAAAGAGCTGTAATTGGAGAATAAAAAGGGAAGAACTAGCTCTGCATTTCTCAAGCTGAAAGGCCTGAAAAATTTAAGCGTCATGTCTCAATATTGAAAAATGCTGTGGACAAATCATCAAAAGAAGATGGAAGGAATACACAGAATCACTGTAACAGAAAGACTTGATTGACAGCGAAAAATTTCAAGAAGTACCATATGAACAGGAGTCAGTGGTAAAAAAGGAGGAAGTAGAAGCTGCATTGAAGACATTTACAAAAAATAAGGTCGTAGGAATCAATGGGATACCAGTTGACTTGTTTCCATTAACAACATATAGACATCATTCCGGTACTCTCTGTTTTTAGTCAAGATCCATCTGGATGCGTTCACCAATCTATGCAAGGAAATTTGGAGGATGGCTGTTTCTCCAACAGATTGGAAGAGGTTCATATTTGTTCACATTCCCAAGAAAGATGATCCAACCAAATGTGGAAATTATCAAACAATAGCATTGATATTACATGAAAGCAAAACACTGCTGAAGATCATTCAGAAATCGCTGAAGCAGCACATAGATAAGGAACTGCCAGAAGTTCAAGCAGGATTTACAAGAGGCTGTGGCACTAGGGGTATCATTGCTGACATCCTATGGCTCCTGGCTGAAAAGAAGAGTTTGTGCTTTATTGACTATGCACAGGCATTTGACTGTGCGGATCATGACAAGTTGTGGCTGACATTGAGAAGGATGGGAATCCTGGAGCATTGACTGTGCTCATGCAGAACTTGGATCAGGAAACTATTTCGTGAATGGAGCAAGTGAGCACTGCATGGTTTGGAATTGGGAAGGGAATGTGCCACGGTTGTATTTTCTCTCCATACCTATTCAATTTGTATGCTGAGCAACTTTTCAGAGAAGCAGGACGCTGTGAGGAGGAATGTGGTGTCAGCATTGGAGGAAGACTTATCAATAACCTACGTTATTCAGATGGCACAACTTGACTTGCTGAAATTGAGGACGACTTGAAGCGCTTGTTGCAGAAGATCAAGGAATGAAGTCTTCATCATAGATTGCATCTCATTCTCAGGAAAGTGAAGATTCTTACCACTGGACAATAGATAGCACCATGATGGATGGAGAGGACATTGAGACTGTCAACAGCTTCATCTTGCTTGGATCTACATTAGTATGCATGGTACCAGCAGTCAGGAAATAAGAAGATGCATTGCAATGGGAATATCTGCAGTTAGGGACCTTTCCAAATTATTAAAGAATAATGATGCCAGTTTGAGGACTAAGGTGTGTCTGATTCAGGCCATAGTCTTTCCAATTACTAGCTATGCATCTGAGAGCTGGACAATAATTAAGGATGACAGAAAAATAATTAATACCTTTAAGCTGTGGTGTTGGAGAAGAGCACTGAACAACCTATGGACGGTCAAGAGATAAACAGATATGTATTGGAGAGGGTGCAACTAGAGTGCTCTTTGGAGGAAGGAATGATGAGGTTTCACCTCATATACTTTGGATATGTTGCTAGGAGGGGCTATTCCTTGTAGAGGGACATGATACTGGGAAGGGTGGAGGATTAGGGAAGGAGAGGAAGACCCTCAACAAGGTGGATTGATACAGTGACTACTAAAACGGGTTCTTGTGTGTTAAGAAGTGTAAGGATAGTGCAGGATAGAGTAGAGCTCAGATCTTTTGTTCATAGGGTCGCTATGAGTCAAGCTCAACTCGACGGCACCTAACAACAACAGCAGCATCAACAACAACAACATCTCGTCAGTGAGAAGATCTGTGTTAGACACTGAAACATGAAAAGGACCAAGTAGGTTAAATTCTAGTGAACTTTGTCAGAAATGCTGTGGGTCTACCACTATAAAAACTGTAATGATTATTTCACACAAAAATATTCCAGTCAGTCTCTTACCCAGAAGTGTGTGAACTCAGTTATAAATTTTATGCTCCTTAAAACCAAGTGTTAAGACATGTATAAACCAGAGAGATTTTAGAATCATACTCACCCAAAAATGTCCCAGGGTGTTGACTTCAAATGTCTTGATAATCTCCTCATCCTTAGTGCTAAGCAGATCAGCAGGATATACTACTCCAGCATTATTCACCAGGATGGTTACATCACCCATATCTTGCTTTACCTGTAGGTTGTGAAATAACACATTCACTTGAAGTGTCATTAAAAGCTCAAAGTTTTGGAACTGAGATTATCCAAGAGAAAAGAGTCTTCATTCTACTTGAGTGAGATCTATCAGAGTTCAGACAACTAAGCTTTAAACTTAAATAGTAACTGGAAAAGAAACATTGTCATAAAAGTGGGATAAATGAGTTTGGTTTTACACCTAAATTTTAATAACAGTGCATTATGGATTTGGAAAATTTATAAACAAAGTGAAATTAATGTTAATGCTGAGTAAAAGCTGTGGTTGAATTTTTTAAAATGCTATTTTATTTTGATAAAAATAAATACACTAAAATGTCAACCAATACAACGACTTCCACAAGTCAAATCATTGGCATCAATTACAGTTTTCCTGTTGTGGCACCATTATTGATTTTGTTAACACAAGCTCAAAGCTCCTCAATATAAACTTCTTTTCCTCCTATCTCTGGCTTTGGTTTCTACATATTTGTTTATTTATAATTATATGTATATGTATATGTATATGTATATGTATATGTATATGTATATGTATATGATATTATATAGTATTCAATATGGATTGAAACTCAGCATTAAGAAAACAAAGATTCTCACCACTGGGCCAATTGGCAGCACCATGATAGATTGAGAAGAGATTGAGGTTACTAACAATTACAATTTGCTAGGCCCCATAATCAATACTCTTTGCACCAGCAGTCAGGAAATCTGGGAAAATCTACTGCCAGGGACCTCTCCAGAGTACTGAGAAGTAATGATGTCAGTCTAGAGACTAAGGTGCACCTGATGCAGGCCATGGTCTTCACAATTACTTGAAAAACATCAGAGAGCTGGATAATGACTAAGGATGACAGAATAATCAATACCTCTGAGTTGTGGTGCTGGAGAAGAGTCTAGAACACACCATGGACCATCAAGAAAACAAATGGGTCTGTCTTGGAAAGGGTTGAAACCAAGTTTCTTCTTGGAGGCTAGGATTTTAAAGCTCCATCTCACATATTTTGGGCATGGGTCATGAAGGATTGGTCCTTAAAGAAGGACAACATGCTTGGGAGGGTGAAGGGACAATTCAGGAGAGGAAGAGCCTGGATGAAAAGGATTGATACAGTAACTGGAACAATATGGGTAGGTTTGTCAAAGTCAGTGAGATTGGCTCAGGACAGGGCAGGCTTCAGAGATGTTGTACGTAAGATCGCTATGAGTCACAGGCAACTCAACGACACACAACAACAATATAGTATTTGCCATTATCCCCCTGATTTTACTTAGCATGTTTTCTAAATTTACTCATATTGTGCATGCACCAGAATTTATCTTCATGACTGCATAACATTCCATTATATGTTTGTACTACATTTTGCTTATCCATTTAATATTTATGGACATTTCCGTTTCCTACCTCTTCTTGGCTACTGTTAAAAGTGCTACAATGAACACTATGATGCAGTTTTATATTTGTATGTCTGCCTTTACTTCTAGGTATACAGTTAAAATTGGAAATATTGGGTCATATGATAATTCTGTTTATAACTTTTAAAGATTGTCAAGCTGATCTTGACAGTGGATGCATAATTTTACATTTCTATCAGCTATGTCTGTTGTTGTTGTGGGCCATTGGGTTACCTGTGACTTATGCACAGTTCTGAACCCACCTCTATCCTGAGCCAGTCTCACAGTCTCATTGTCTACCCACACTCATTACCCCAGGTATTGTGTCAATGAATCACATCTGGGGTTTTCTTCTCCTGCACTGTAACCTTGATCCTTCCAAGAATTAAATCCCTCTGCAAAGACTGGTGCCTCATGGCTACATGCTCAGAGTATGTGATATGAAGTCTCAAAATCCTTGCTTCCAAGGAGCAGTTCGGTTTCACTCTCTCAAGGACTGACCTGTTAGTTCTCTTAACAGTCCATACTGTGTTTAATACTTTCCTCCAGCACAACTCAAAGGCATCAATTCTTCTTCTCTCATCCTTGGTCATTGTCCAGCTCTCTGATGTATAGAAAGTAATTGTGAAGACCTTGGCCTGGGCCACATGCACCTTAGTCTCTACACTCACATCCTTGCTCTTTAGCACTCTGAAGAGGTCCATGACTACAGGTTTTCCTAATGCAATTCATCTTTTGATTTCCTGACTGCTGGTGCCAAGAGTACTGATTGTGGAAATAAGATGAAATTATTAACAATCTCAATTTCTCTTCCTCTATCATGCTGCCAACTCGCCCGGTAGTAAGAATCTTTGCTTTCTTGACATTGAGCTTCAATCCATAATTCACACTACAGTTCTTGACCCTCTGCAGCAGATATTACAGGCCCTCCTCAGTTTCAGCAAGCAAGGTTGTACTATCTGCATAACACGGGTTGTTGATGAGTCTTACTCCTATCTTGATGCAACATTATAATCCTGATGCCTCCTTATAAAGTCAAGCCTCTCAAATTATTTGTTCTGCATACAGATTAAAAAGGTATGGGGAGAGGACACATCCCTGTCGCACTCCTTTACTGACTTTGAACCATACAGTATTACCTTGCTCAGTTCTGACAACTGCCTCTTGGTGCAAGTATAGGTTTCATATGAGCACAATCAGGGGTTCTGGGTGTCTTACATCTGCTTTTCTGGGTAAAATTCTTGTCTATCAGATATTGCCATAAAGTTGACTATTTAAATTAAGGCGGACTAGGGAGAAGGATTGGCCACCCACTTCTGAAACAACAGACCTTTTAAAATCTTATGAGCAACACAGCTATGGATGAGGGCTCTAATTATTCCATGATCTGGCCATCACCTGTTGTTCTCTTGCTTTCTTTTTATAATGATTATTATTTTAATGGGATGAGATAACATTCCATTGTGGTTAATGAGAAGAAGGTGTGGTAGTGAAATGGTTATGTATTTCACTAAAAAAAAAAAGAAAAGTCCGTGGTTCAAAGCAACCAGCAGCTTTGTAGAAGAAACCCTTGGTATTCTACATTTCTGTTTTGTCTATACAGTCACTGTAAGTGAGAAGCAACAACAATAATGGCAAATTAAGGAGTTCTAGGGTTACAATGGTTAAAATGGTTAAGCATCTGGCTATTGGTGGCCTAAACTCAGTGCAGAAATACCTGATGATGTACTACCACAAAGACTGAGGGAGGAAAAAAAAGCCTAAAGAAAAATTCTACTAGGTCCAAGGGGTGAACATCATTTAGAATTAACATGATGGTACGTAACTATAACAGTGGCTAATGATGCTGGATATTTTTCTTTTGGGGGGGTTCTTTTTTAATTGACATTTTAATAAAAGTTTATGAAGAACAACTTGGATTTCCATTCACTCATTGTTGTACATTTTCTTCCCTGCCCTAACCCAATTTGCTTTTTTCTTTGGAAAAAAAATTCTTTAATTGTTAGGCAATGCCCACCTCCCTGGACCACTTTACTATGCAGCTCTTATTCTGGACTCTTGTGACGCCAATAATACCTAATCATATATTCCTTTTATACAGTTCTCTCCCTTGTCTGTTTCAATGCTGTTAACATAATTTATCCCTTCTTTTCTTAGTTTTCCCCCAACCCACATGTCAGTCCTGTTTTACAATGATGACACTTTGCAGTATTTGTCATTTTGTGACTAAGATATTTCAATCAACATAATGTCTTCAATGGTTACTCATATTGTATAATATTTCATGGGTTCTTTGTTTTTCAGTACTGCATAATATTCCATTATATATCACAGCTTCTCTATCCATTTATTTCTTGAGGTGCACTTGGGTTGTTCGCAACTTTTGCTATTGTAAATAAAGCAGCAATAATCATGCATGTGCATATATCTGCTTGGGTGACAGTTCTGGTTTCTTTAGGGTATATTCCCAGTAGCGAATTTGCTGGGTCAAATGGTATTCCTATTTGCAACTTTTTGAGAAAGTGCCATACTGCCTTCCATAGTAGTTGCACCATTTTACACCTTCACAAACAGTTAATAAGGGTTCCAGGTTCTCCACAACCTCACCAACATTTGTTGTATGCTGCTCTGTTAAACTTTGCTATTCTTACTTGTGCAAGATGATATCTCATAATTGTTTTTATTTGCATCTCTCTTAGAGCTAGGGATTTTGAACATTTCTTCATGTGTTTGTTGATCATCTGAATGTCTTCTTTGGTGAAGTGTTTGTTCATATCCTATACCCGTTTTGCAATTGGGCTGTTTACCTTTATCTTATTGTGGTGCACAAGTATTCTATAAATTCTAGATATAAATCCCTCACCAGACATGTCATTACTAAATATTTCTTCCCAGTCTGTGGCTTCCCTTTTTACCCTGTTGAAGAAGTTTTTTGATGTGCATAAGGATCTAATTCTTAGAAGGTCCCATTCATCTATTTTTTTCCTCACCTGGATGTAGATTTTTCAGGATGCTTGGAAGAGTGTTCATGTTGTGGATTAGTGCTTCTAGGGTTCTTCCAAGCTTTTATTTAATGAAGTTTATAGTCCTTGGTATTAGTCCTTGGTCCTTGATCCACTTTGAATTGGTTTTTGTTCATGGTGTGAAGTATGGGACTTGTTTGAGTTTTCTGCAGATGGTTTTCCAATTTTTCCAACACCATTTGTCAATGGCACTTAACAACAACAACAACATAGCGAGAGCTCAGTTGGCATAGTGGACAGGAAATGATACTACTACACCAAAGTTGGGTGATTTTAATCTGCAGTCCTCAGGCCTGGTTTTAATTGTTTTTGGTCAAACATTCTTCTAAGTGGCATAGCACTGGTCTGTCCATTTGCTGTACCGAGGTAACTCATGGTTGCTGTGATGCTAAACACTGTGACACTAACATGTCAAATGTGATAATGGTTACCCATGGTGGACAGTGTTTGGTGGAGCTTCCAGATTAAAGCAAACTTGGAAGCAGGAGTGGCATCCAATTCCAAAATAGCTTGCCTCTAGAAACTGTAAGAACTTGGAGAAACAATGAAAGTTAGACAAGTGTTCAGG